TGTTGGAAAAGAAAAAGAAACGATTTTATGCGCAAGACTTTTCTTTCTTTCTTCCTTTCTATCTGTCTTGCTCTCTTTGTTTGTTTGTTTGTTTGTTTCTTTCTTTCCTTCTGTCTTTTTTCTTTCTTTCTTTTCTATTTATTCTTAGCTTCTATTATTCCTAATTTCTATTTATTCTTAATTATTTACCTTCACTGTCTTCTCTTTTTCGCTTTTGTGTTTTGCTTTGTTCTCTCTCTTTTTGTCTTGAGTTTCATGTTAGATAGAGAGAGACGGAGAGAGAGAGAGAGAGAGAGAGAGAGAGAGAGAGAGAGAGAGAGAGAGAGAGAGAGAGAGAGAGAGAGAGAGAGAGAGAGAAACAGACAGATAGGCAGATACGCACACATACAGAAACAAAAAACAAAAAAACAACAACATACGAACAAAATCAGAAATAAAGACTCGAAATAAGCTAGAAAGAAGAATGAAGAAAGAAAGAAAGGAAACAATAACAACAAAGAAGTGTATTTTTTTTTCTTTACGATATCGTCGTAGCAAATTGGATTTCTGAAGCAAACATAAACATTACAATTTTTTCTCCCGAAGGACAATAGACAAGCATAATGGAACGTAAAATGTAGATAGAGTAAATTATACAAAAGTGGCATTCAGAAAAAGAACTTTAAAGAAAATGGGCCCAAAATGGAACAAAACTAAAGAGAGAGAGAGAGAGAGAGAGAGAGAGAGAGAGAGAGAGAGAGAGAGAGAGAGAGAGAGAGAGAGAGAGAGAGAGAGAGAGAGAGAGAGAGAGAGAGAGAGAGAGAGAGAGAGAGAGAGAGAGAGAAAGAAAGAGAGGAGGGGGGAGAGAGAACTTAAGATGAAGAAAATAACTAAGAAGGAGGATATAGAAGTAGTACATAAGAGAAAAGAGAGTGAAAATGGAGGTAAAAATAACAGCATTCCTAGCAATCAGGAATTGCGTGACAGATAAGGAGAGTTGCACCGTGATCAATGGCCGCCTGCAACACTTATCCTGGGAGTTGGAAGAGAAAGGAAAAGAGTGGATGGGATAAAAGGAAAAAGAAAGAGAGAGAGAGAGAGAGAGAGAGAGAGAGAGAGAGAGAGAGAGAGAGAGAGAGAGAGAGAGAGAGAGAGAGAGAGAGAGAGAGAGCGATATATATATATATATATATATATATATATATATATATATATATATATATATAGAGAGAGAGAGAGAGAGAGAGAGAGAGAGAGAGAGAGAGAGAGAGAGAGAGAGAGACGGAATGAACAGGAAAAATAGAAATAGTACAGGGAAGACAGAGAGAGCTAGAGAAAGAGAGAACAAGTGAAAGAGACTAAAAGAGAGACAGAGATAGGAGTAACAGATAACAAGAGAAAGAACGAAAGAAGAGCTAGAGAAAAAAATAAAAGAGAGATATAAATATAGAATAATAAAGAGAAAAAAAAAGAGAGTTGGAGAGAGCTATAGAAAGAGCGAAACGAGAGCTGGAGGAAGAGAGAAAAACGACGAGAAAGAGAACAAGCAAGAGAGGAAGAGAGCGCGGGGTCAGAACGAGAAACACGACCAACAATGGATTTGGTAAATACGGCTTCGTTGCTCTCCAGGGCATTTTTGAACAGCAGCTCCGAACGCAAATTTCAGCTAAAAGTCATCGGAGTACAGTTTTATTCTTCCTGGAAACTATTCGTATTCAGAATAAAGTAAACAGCAGCTGAAAATACTCTTTGCGAGGAGCGAAGAAGGAAAGAAAGAAGGAGAAAAAGAGGTGGAAAACATGTTGAGGCTTTCACATTCGCGGGAAAACAATCGGTTTATGCTATTTCTCTCTCTCTCCCCCTCGCCCCCCCTCTTCCAACTCTTATCTATATTTATCTATCTATATGTGTCCCTTCCTCTTTACTTTCATCTCTCTCTCTCTCTCTCTCTCTCTCTCTCTCTCTCTCTCTCTCTCTCTCTCTCTCTCTCTCTCTCTCTCTCTCTCTCTCTCTCTCTCTCCCTTTCTCTCTCTCTCTCTCTCTTTCTCACTTTCTCTTTTCTTTCCCAGCTTCTTAGTTCATTACTATTTCATATGACCGTCATCATAAAATTTCACCATTACTATCTTTTATGGCCATCGTTACGTACCTCCTCCATTACTATTCAATTCGATTAAAATAGGAAAAGGTCCAACAGTTTCAATTAAGACTGGAGGAGGATTCTGGCAATAATGTTGTAGAGTTGCACATTACTATTATTTATGCCATCGTTATCATTAATGAGTTAAATCATAAGAACAGTGAAGAATGAGATGGAGTTTATGATTTTATTATTGTATAAAAAGTGAAATATGTTCTCGTATTGAATATCAGAGAAGTATTTATGAGGAATCTTGAAACGGTGTAAGTTGGCAGTTAGTGTTTTAATAATTTCTTTATTCTGTGTTTCTGTAAATATTGATTCATTTGTTTATTAATTTCTACTTTAATTGTTCTTTAATTTCTTAAAATATGGTATATA